GCCGGGCTATAGATATGATCTTAATTGCGTACTTACGTTGGTCCAGCTTGGCACAATGTAAGTGTGCTAATCTCGTATCTAATGTTCCGCTTGGGAAGCTGACAATTGCTGTAGCAGTCAGCACTACTTCAGTGATGGTTGCAATCTTGTGGGTGTTCTTTCAAAGAGGTGTAGGTCAGAATCAATCAGTCAGGTTCAATCAGAGAAAGCGTTTAATTTATTGAAAAAATTAAAGAAACTTACATCCAGGGATGCCAATCATCAATTCACGGACAGTTTGTAAAAAAAAATCACACAAAAAAAACAGCTGTCTGTGAAACATCCACTAAGTTAGTGTCCATAAATAATACTGACTCTGACTAAGATCAAAGGTGCAGCAGGATAGAATCAGCCTCACACTGTATAGGAAGGGCCAGCAATTACTAGGAGGGAGAGACTGATGGGGTTAAACTAAAGCTGCAGCTGATCCTCCTTCTGCTGGTGGATGTTTCACGTGAAAGGTATAAAGTTAAAGGAACACGGGGAATTGCAATCCCTAGGAGTGCCAATTAGAATTAACAGTGAGGTTTATGACCCTATAGGTTTTTCTATTTGTCCCCCTTCTATAGTTTGCCTTGGAGCTCCCAGAGAGGGTAGGGGGACAAAGCTCTCATATGTCAGGGGTTTTAAGTCTCCTTCAATATGTACCAGCTTCCTCTGGCCTGTTCCTGAGAAATGGAGATGTCTGAGTTCTGAACAGCCTGGTATGTTGCACCACCAAAGTAGAGTAGCACATTATATATCTGAGGATCAGCCATGAGTGTGGTAAGTGGTTGGCTAAAGAGTGAAGGTAGGCTTAACAGTTAGGGCAACTTAAAGTGTCCAAGGTACCTGGGGGATACCTTTTATCATAATGAATGTGGCTTTAAGTCTCTGCTGTCCAGTGTTTGGGATATAGTTCATGCAATTGATATATAAGCTTTTGTGCAATTTTAAAGCAGTGGAGTGGTGAATATAATGTAGACAGATGTAAACTGAATTACTTATTGGGACACTGAGATGAAGCATCTTTACTCAGCTCCGGCCTTCTCTTCCTGAGGGAGAGGCAGACAAGGAGATGCAGATTTCCTAATATTGAAGTGGTCATCCTCATTAGGTGAGGTTGCTTTGTAGGTGGGAAGAGACAGAGGAGGTAATAGAAGAGGGTCAATCCAGTCTGGTGGCAGCAGAACGTGTACCATTCTGGAAGCTCTTGCGGGGGAATTTGAAGAAGGGTTCAAAACTGCTGGAGTTAGATCGGTATCCACAGGTTTGCTGACCAACTCAATACTGTTGCTGAAATCCAGTAGGGAAATTTCCAGCTTTGGGGGATATTTTGTGCCCAGGTTAGGTTCAGTAGCGAGTGGGAGGGCTCTCTTATGTTGGATGATGTGGGAGAAATCTTGGTAGATTTTCACTGATATACCATTAAATATGATAGCTTCTCTGTAATACCTTCCTTTAGCTGAAAGCTCTCCAAGCGGCAAACGGTGTTCCTTAGGAGGGCTCTGTCTCTTGCTTTCTAGGGCAGAGGGCCTGGTGCACTCTCTAAAAATCATATATTTGGGTAGTCTCTTGAGTAGGTCATTGAAAATTGCTTGGAGGTACAGTTGTTCTAGGGATTTCCCAGGCTAAGAGGTAATACGTCCATCCCGTTTTCCAGGTCCTCTAAATGCATATGCATTTCGGGTAGTCTGAGATTATGGGTTTGAGATTGACATTTTCTGTAGGGTTGAATCTTTGTGTGCACCTTCTTGCTTTCATCTGACCTAGTCTCATAGTGATCACATGTGTGCCAGCCAAATTGGAAATCGTGGCAGAAAGGACATATGCGGACATTGACTAATGTAAGAGGTTGATCCCCCTAGCAGAGACGTGGTGTGGTTATGCTCTTCATGGGTAGAAGAGCTCCCTGGTGAGTAGGAAGCTGAGAACTGTGAGGCTGGGAATACACTCGGACAATCCACTGGCTGGGATGTGAAGAGTGGTGATATAGAAGTTCAATTTTGTCCTGGATTCCCGTAGGGGTATAGTTGCAGGTGTGCTTTGCCAATTTTCTCCATTTTGTTAAGCTCAGGGCTAATAAGATCTTTTTTGTGTATTAGAATTCCACATTCACCCTCCATCTTGTTTTTGAGTCAGGTCATGCCCCGTATATCTGGTTTTTATTTGTAAGGCAAAGAGACCCATTGAATTTGCCATAGTTACTATAAAGAGTTCACATTCACTGGGTGAGAGAACTTGTTCTTATGATCTTGCTCTTGCCTTGCAACTCATAGCCATGGCTCAGTGCAGAGTTCACAGATTGCCATATTTTATGGGTATCCACAGAGCTGGTCACAAAATAAGCAAGAGTTTTTGCTGTTGAACTCCTTTTTTATGAGCAAGCTAAGGCTAGAGAAAGACTTGAACCAATTAATGCACATGTCTATGAGCAGTAAACATTTGCTTTAGAAATCAAACCGCTAATTCTATGCCAAGCCCATGGAGACTTCTTGATCAAGGACGTGGCAGCTCATTTACAAATGAACAACTCTTTTGTGATATGGGAAAGGTTTGCAGCCATTTGTCAGCCTGTATAATTACTCCAAAGCAGAGCTTTTTAGTTGCACAGTTGTCTCTAGCGGCCTTCTTAGAATTTTTGGGCCCAGGGGAACATGTCAAGAATGAGAGTTTTTTGTTTAGCACAATTTATGCATACCTTCTGTAAAAGTATTTTTTTTGCTCTTTGTTTTTACATCTTAAATTGAGCACTGAAGTGACATTTTAAAAGAAAGCTTAACGTACGTTAGCTTGCAGGCTGTACTTTTCTCACAGTCTGCCTTAAAGGGGAACTTTGGTCACAGCATATACTTTCATTTTAAAACATCAGCATTGTATTAGCAATACAAACAGTTATTTTTGACAATCCAACAGAAATTTACTTGAAAAATCTCCTTTCATGTTGTGAGTTCTGCCTCTCTGCTGACTGTCTCTTGCCACTATTTTCTTGATCCCCTGCATGGATTGCAGCTGCTCTTCTGCTCCTTTCTTTCCACTTCTAAGGATGATATTCTATGACACCTAGTTACCTGCAATCTGTTGTTCCTGTTCTAACTCCGTCTCTTAAAACATCTCCTCTCAACCCCTCTGTAGTTCAGAAGGCAGGCTCTATGAGTTTTGTGACACAGCAGTGCCAGCTCACATGGCATAGTTGAATACGTCATAGAATTCGTAAATTTTTGAGATTCTTCACAAAGCAAGGTTATAAACTTCAAGATCATTCAGATTAATAGGAGTAGGCTAGAAATAATTAAAGTACAGTGTGGAAATTATATGATTGTACATTTTGACCATAGATACACCTTCATTGTAGTCCAGTTATTTTCTATATTACTTTAGCATTGGTTCAGTGGGTACAATAGGATTTTTGCTTTTACTGTAAAATTATTTTCTTGGAAATCCATTGATGGACAGATTGGACACTGGAAAATAAACTAAGGGCTAGCCTCAGTTTAGTAGAAGCAGTACTGAGAGCATGATCATGAACTCAGAGGGTTGGACACGTGTCCCTCAATATACTCTATATACAAAAAGGGTTTTACAGTGAAGTAGCCTTCCTAATGTCTAGCATTGTAGGAATCACAGATTTAGAAATGCATCTTCCTCTCAAGACCTTGGCTTCGACAAACACTCTGGCCTTTGGTGTTCAGGACTCGAATACTTCAAATGGCTCCAGCGCCAATTTCTGAAGGCTTATATCCATCCGAACCATTGTATGTCTGCTGGATAGCCAAAGCCTTGTTATATAACAGAGCCTGTGCCGACTGTTCCCTCAATGTGAGGTTGTCCAAGTATCCCACAATATTCATAACTTAGTGCGAAATTGGGGCATGGTCTGGTGGGAGCCCAGGCTGAGACTGCCATTCATTACAATACCAGCGAGTCTACATGGATGTGCGGCTTCATGGGATCCATTCTTTGCTTAGCGCGAGAGGGCTAATATTGTCAGCACATCCAGATGAAAAGCTGGAGGGCAGGGCTATGAACTGGTGGTGTAAGAGCCCCACAGCATAGTGTTGCAAACGCTGATGCACTAGAAAGATGGGGACATATACGCAGGGGTGGACTGACAACTCATGGGTCCCCCGGGCAATAGGGAATCATGGGGCCCCTGTGTCCTTGTCCACACTCAAAGCACACACAAAAAAGCCTATAAAAAGGTACCAGGGGCATTTCATGGGGCCCCCTACTGACCCTGGGCCCTCGGGCAGTGCCCGAGTGCTTGAATGGTCAGTCCGCCCCTGCATGTACGTATGTGTCCTCGATGTCCTCCAAAGCTAGAATGCCTACCTTGTGAAGAGAGGCAAATGACGTACTTTGTGGATTTAATATGAAACTTCAGAGCTCAAATTATGAAATTCACTGCTTTTCGTTCCAAAGTGGGGTTGATGCTTCCTTTGGATTTGAGAATGATGAACAGGTTGGAATTTTAGCCATGAAATTGTTCTGCCATAAGAACTGGGGTAATGACATCTTGATCTAGAAGACCCTAGAGTGGTCAGTGGAGATCTGCTAGCCTATGCAGTGACACAGGAAGGTGAGAAACTGAGAGAGGGCAGGGAGTGAGACTTCCGCTTGCGCTGGAATACTGTTTCATGCACCCAGACATCTGAAATTCAAGATTAATAAACCTCCCCTCACTTTGGAAAGTGGAGACACACCTTCAAGCCAAGGAATGTTTTTCTGCGAATTTGGAGAACCCCATCCTTGTGGGTAGGCTGGATGCCAAGCTCAGGGGTTTGGATGTGCATGATATTGGAGTGGAGAATAAAAGGTATACTTTTTTTAACTGATTGAGAAGACTTGCAGTTTGTTACTTAGGCTTACTGTGCTGAGGAAGATTGGTGCTCTTGTTATGAGTAGTATCCCTCAGAGGCTATGCTGATCAGACTCTAGCAGGTTTCACAGTCCAGCACTTTAACCAGTGTCCTTTACATGAGATGGTTTGCCTCTAGCAGCCTGTTACAACTGCAGCTTAAAGCTTACAACCATTTGCTCTGAACATTTTATAACCAAGAGCTCATCGACATCAGTGGTAAGATCTTTTAAGGGACCTAAAGAAAAAGCTCACCTTTTGGACAAAAATAATAAATGCACATTTTTTTGCAGGTAAAAAAATGTGCATTTATTATTTTTGTACAAAGGAGCCTGTAAAGCATTGCACCAGCGATCAGTAGATCGCTGATGCCATGCAGGTCTCCTGCAGACTTGTCAGAATATTTACTGACCATACAGGATGTATAGTCAAGCAGATATTCTGACAGGAATCTTGAATGAACTACCAAGGCGCTCCATAGTGGCGTGGTAGTTTTTTGAAAACTAGGCACTCATTCACAGAACTCTGTGAATGAGTGATGAGACCATGTTGGCGGGGAAACTTCTCCCCGTGCTGTTCGGGGGGGGGGCTGTTGCGGCTGTGGGAACATGTTACATGTTCCACCCTAAAAATGGGTGGAACATGTAACATATTCCAAAGGTGAACTTATCCTTTAAGCAGTCAGCCAAGGATTGGCAAAGTAAAGTCACAGCCAAGAATGGATGAAGGGCAGGGCCTAACAATGAGAACAGAGCTTTCAGGCATTTATATGTTGAGTTATCAAAAGCAGGTGCATCCTCCACCTACAGTAGACGGTGATTGCTTCCTTACAGCTGAATCTTCGTTTTCAAGTGCTAATGTACCTGGCTGGTACACTGCCCTGTACAATTCAATTAAACTTACAGCAGCAGCACAGCAATCTGCTTCCATCTCCCTCAATCCGGACTTGAACCCAAACAAAACAAACAAAAGCTAGCCTTGTGCAAACTGTCTGATGGGCTCTTAGGCTAGGTTCACATCTGTGCGGGTGGTGCGGCTGCGGATCCGCACGAAAATCCGTGCAGCTGCACCACCCGCACAGCGGAATGCGGACCCGCTGGTGGGTGCCATTATTTCTAATGGCACGCCGTCCGCACTGGAAAACACCACCGTACTGGGAACCGAGGTTCCCGTGCGGGCTGCGTTTTCAGAAGTGCAGGGACTTCTTCCCTGTGTGTCACGAGCACGGGAGTCCATTCAAATGAATGGGCTATCGTGCCTACGCAAAACGTGGCCTGCACGGCCACAAATATGTGAAGTTAGGAGTTAATATATTACTGGCCAAGCTCTGAAACCGTGTACTGTGGATATCTTTTATGACTTTTTCTCTCAACTGTGTAAAGGTAGTTCTAAAATCTTTTCTTTACAGATGCCCTAAAAATCCTTCATTTTAACAGATGGTTTTTTGCATTGTTTACACATATCAAATCATTGTTTTATTGAGATCATGTTTCAAACACTTGGAGAACAGTTTAATGGGCCCCAGGCAATTGTGCAGTGTCTGGGAATGTGCCCCACTTCATTTTAGATTGCTCTGGGTACATAGGCAGTATAGTTACAGTGCATTTTTCGGCTGGAAAAACTGCCTGTTACACAACAGCTATCATACAGAGAAGCTTTGTTTAAATGTAATGCACATTACTAGTGGACATTTGCCAATTACAAGCAGCTTCAACACCTGCATATAACTTTAAATTAATATCATTTTTTTTTTTTTTTTAGAGGCTTACTATGCTCAGTAGAGGCTCCCTGGATTGTTTGTCTGCTTATATTCCCCAAACAGCCAAGAATGCAGCTGTGTGTGTTTTTGCTTGTTATACCCCATAATTGTATGTTGACTAATGTAGGCTGGCAGTTTACAGTTATGGTTCAATCTACCAATCACCTCTTGTGTGCATTCACCAAGGAGTGCTTCTCATATACTGTAGCTCTTGTTTTATCTTACACTTTCTTTTCTTAGCACACCTTCAAGGTTACCATTGTTAAGCAGTTTAACAATTTCCTCCTTTTTTTTTTTTTTTTTTTTTTTTTTTTTTTTTTTTACTTTTTGTAAAAAATACAAATGGCCTTCTGGCACTGAAAAACAAATCTTTTCAAATTCTTAGTCTGTTCATGCACAAAGCAAATGTAGATATAAAAACTATATTGCATGTCTATATCTGTAGTTCCTCATTCAACCACTTCAGTACCGGACACTTTCACCCCCTTTCTGCCCAGGCTACTTTTCAGATTTCAGCGCTGTCGCACTTCGAATGACAATTACTCAGTCATGTAAGAGAGAGAAAATAAAGTTGTTAGAATTGCCTAGTCAGTCCGCTGACTTGAGTCCAATAGAAAAACTATGGAAAGGACTAAAGATCAGAGTTCATAGAAGTGGCCCATGGAACCTTGAGAGCTGATTTACACATGTGTGGTGCAGATTGAAGCTCAGGTTTCATAGCTAATTGATACAGTAGTTCACCAGTTCATGTCAGGTTTACATCAGTTTCAGGACAGGATTAGCTCTCAGGATTATCTTGTCCACACATATGCAGTTTAGAAACAGTTCACATAGAAGTCAATAGCCTGTAATCTGTACCTGAACCAGACCGCACTGCTCAGAAATTGGACATGACTCTTTTTCAAACCACAGTGAATCTGCACCACCAGTGCATCAGACACATATTCACATGCAGCATAGGAAGCATTGTTATTTCACATGTCATGCAGACTGGATATGGTTAAAACCACATCCAATCCGCATAAATATGAACCATTACTCAAGATTTGAACAAACTTTGTGTGTAAGAATGGGCCACAATCACACCTGAGCAATGCATGCGACTGGTTTCTCTCCATACAGGCGGTGTCTTGACCAACAAAGGATTTTGTACAAAGTATTACATTTTAGATAATGTGTTAAATACTTTTTCCCTGTGTCATTCCATTTTATTACACATAACTTAATTTCTGAATGTCAATAGCACCTTTAGAAATCTATTTACTGAGAAAAATTGTGACGTGTTCAATACTTATTTTACCCGCTGTATATGGGGCAATTACAGTGCCTTGAAAAATTATTCATACCCCTTGAAATTTTCCACATTTTGTCATGTTACAACCAAAAACGTAAATGTATTTTTTTGGGATTTATATGATTTTATGATAGATCAGATTCCGATAAGCCTCCCGCCTGCAGACCCTCACAACCACAGGCCAGGGTTGTGGGGAAGAGGAACTTGTCCCCATCAACATAGGGACAAGGTGCTTTGGGGGAAGCCCCCCAAAAAACACCCCCCCCATTTTGAGAGCATGTGGCTGCATGCTCGGATAAGAGTCTAGTATGGATTTTGGGGGGACCCCTACGCCATTTTTGAAAGACATTTTGGCGTGGGGGTTCCCCTCAAAATCAATACCAGACCCGAAGGGCTTGGTATGGATGGAGGGGGACCCCATGCCATTTTTAATTTTTTTTAATTGCTGGCAATTCTCTCTTTTACAGTTAGCTGTCAGTGGGGAACTCCACTGACGGCTGCAACAATAAAGCATGGTTTTCACTACTAAAATACCACATGACCTGATATAATAACTAACTCATGCTGTAATTTTTTTTTTTTTTTTAATGCTCTGCGGTATCCTACTGCATACTCGGATGCGGTAAGATACTGCTTAGTGAATTGTGCCCTTTGTGTTGGTCTGTCACATAAAATCCCAGTGAAAGACATTTACGTTTTTGATTGTAACATGACAAAATGTTAAAAAATGTCAAGGGGTATGAATACTTTTTGAAGGCATTGTATCACAGACAGGCTATAATAGAACATCTAGCAGTAGTCACATCTGAAACTTCGGACTTTTTAAAGCTGTTGTAAACTGGTTGTATCTGTCCCTGTAGCCACCCAATACTTCTACTGGTAAGTGAACATATTCATCATTGTGGTTTACAGTGACTATTTATCCTAAACTGCACCGGAATAAAGAGCTGATCAATTGCTGTGGGCAGATGTCCTCAAACTGTCCCCCTCTGTTCCATACGTTTTCCCATTTCTTGGCGTCTGCCACAGTTCCGGAAGTCTTAGATTTGTGAATATTACAGCATTCCATGTGAGCTCTGTTTCAAATAATCTGGAATTAGTTTGTGTATGTTTTCTAGATTAATGAAAGGAAGACTGCTTAGTAAGATAGTTCTGACACCAGTGTTTAGTTTGCATCTTCATAAGGAAAACCGGGTGTGCCGTTTTTGTTTTTTGGTAAATTAATTTACAGTGTTAATTTACAGCACTTGGAAAAATAATTAGAAGCTCTTCCTGCAGGTGTGTTCATTTGTGTTCAACTCATATAGAGAAATTGCAAAACTGGAACAGGCATATGTACAGTATATTAGGTGCTCTAGCAACTGATGCTTTGTTGCTACAGTCAGGAACGTGGATAAAGGGGTAACACCAGTCCTCCTGTATGGGGCCGAGGCACCTGGGTGAATCAGATGTGGGCAGGGAGGGTGATATGCATGGGTGGGGGGGGGGAAATCAACCATATAGCTGTCTCTGCAGCAGCCAAAATCTGTCGTCTTCTCCTCTTTCTCCCTCCTGCTGGCTTTCAGTTGCTGCAGAGAGAGCTATACAGGGGATATGTTCCAGTACTTACCCCCCTGGTGCGCCCATCACCCTCCCTGTGCATCATACATTTCCCCCTGCTGCACAGGCTCCGCTGTGTGCACCCACCCCTGCAGTGCTGCCAGCTTCCTTCCTCTCCTTTCCACCAGCAGCTGCAAGCACACTATAGGATCCTTCAGGATGGAGGGTGGAGGAAGGTTCCAAATATGTCACATTACATTTACCACTCCCTTTCCTGAGTGAAAGCAATTAGTGATCAGTACCGATCACTCACTGTGTTCATTCATAACTCAAGCATAGTAAACTTTTGTTTTGTTTTTTTGGTGGGGGGGGGGGGGGGGGCCTGGCGGCTGCCAGGTTGGCTGTGTGGGGCCCTGTGGTTTCTAACAGCAACCCTGGCTACAGTTCTTGGTATTCTGTGTACTCCAGTAAATACATACATGGGAATTCAGGGAAGGCAAACCCACAATGCTTTTAGAGATATGTTACTTGCAGTAGACCGAAGGGGTTTTGGCACCATAACGCCAGCCAAGCAAGCAGTAGACTCCCTTGGTATCACTTCCATTTTTATGAAAGTAGTGGTGATTTTGCAGCCCTCCAAGCGAAGGCGGACTTGAAGATGGGCTGGCTTTATCTGAGAATGTGGCTGCCTGGAGTTGTTTCTTCATATATATCTTTAACCACTTGCTGACCTACTCACAGTTCATGTACTGTGAGCGGGCGGCAAGTGTAGACACGGCAACATACATTCAGTATCTCACAGAAGTGAGTACACCCCTCACATTTTTGTAAATATTTTATTCTATCTTTTCATGCGACAACACTGAAGAAATGACACTTTGCTACAATGTACAGTAGTGAGTGTACAGCTTGTATAACAGTGTAAATTTGCTGTCCCCTCAAAATAACTTAACACACAGCCTAAACTGTCTAAACTGCTGGCAACAAAAGTGAGTACACCCCTAAGTGAACATGTCCAAATTGGGCCTAAAGTGTCAATATTTTGTGTGGCCACCATTATTTTCCAGCACTGCCTTAACCCTCTTGGGCATGGAGTTCACCAGAGCTTCACAGGTTGCCACTGGAGTCCTCTTCCACTCCTCCATGACGACATTACGGAGCTGGTGGATGTTAGAGACCTTGCGCTCCTCCACCTTCTGCTTGATGATGCCCCACAGATGCTCAATAGGGTTTAGGTCTGGAGGCATGCTTGGCCAGTCCAAGCAATGTTGTCTTATATATTGTTTGTTCTGGTTTTATATCCAGTATTTAGGAATGAGGCATGGAAAGTGACGTCTTTGTCATTGTGTCTAATGTCCCTTTCATGTTTTTCCCCTCTTTTTGATTCTGACATTAATTCAGTGAAAACAACATTTTGGATCAGCTTTAATTGAAAGCCTTAGATGACACCATTTCATTCAGTTGTTACCTTTGTCTGAATACGTGATCGTAAATGAAAAGGTGTTTGGCTTCAAAACTGCAACAAATGATTAAATGTTTAATAGATGTACTCTCGTCCACCGAGAAATGTATGTTTCAGATAAATTCTCATTAGTAGATTTTCAATTGTAATTAGATTTTATGTTTTAATTTTTGAAAAGCTGATGTGTATGTTATGTTTGTAGATATGTGTTTCTGCTTAGGTTTATAGAAACACATTGGTTGAATACAATTATGAAATTATGTATATAGATAAAGGCTGGTTTGGGAGGTGTGTTTTTTTTTTTTTTTTTTTCTCACTTAAGGCTTAAATAGGGAGGTGTATGTCATGTCTGAGACTACATATAAATATCCTAACGCAGAAGTCTGGGCAATTTTTTTTCTAATTTTTTTTCTCCCTTGCAATGGGGCTGTTCCCGTACTGCATGAGTTTAACTGCTTTAAGGGTGAACTGCTCTTTGTCTAGGGGTGAACACAGAGCCTATACTCACCTGATCTTTCTTTCCTCCGGAAAACTGTGTTCCCCCACTGTTTCTGGCATCCTCATGTCCAGAGTTGGTTTACAGCCATGATGACGTCGAACAGTCCACCGCACAACACTGCTACACTGAATTATGCCATTGATTATGCTTTTACGAAGGAGTACGGGCATTGGGGTTCTAGTAGCAGTTGGTAGGTTGCTATCCTTTTGTCTTGTGCCATTATAAAGGAGTCCCTGGGATCCACTACCACTTCACCTCCAGCAAGTACACACTTGGGTGAAATTTTTCAAGTTACAGATTATACATTAGCACCTTGTTCCTGTTCCTCCCAGCTATGAGCTGTTTTTGTGACTTATAGGTTGAAATCACCATGACCTGCACTTTTAGCAGCGCTCTAGTCACCTCTGCAATTGACTAGTTTTCTCAAAGGTTTCCTTTTTGATTAACATAATTTGAAACCCTGTCTATATAGCTTTTCTTTAAGTAAATATGGAGCAAATACCTATTTGCTTTAAGAAATCTAAAAATTAAATCAGTTTTGAGATGTTCGGAAAGGCTGTTTTAGTTGGTACAGTCTCTTCACATGGACTTCAGTCCCCACTGTCCGTCTGAAAAGATCTTCCTGGATTTTTTTTCCAGTCAGTTTTTGTAGTATCTCAGAGCTGAACTTTCCTATTTATTTATTTATTTTTTTTAATTTCAGGAGCAGATGATGTCTTGCTGCTGGCCAGAAGAACAGATTTACGAAGAATTTCATTAGACATGCCTGACTTTACTGATATTGTTCTGCGAATTGATGACATTAAGCATGCCATTGCTATTGACTATGATCCAGTGGAAGGATATATTTACTGGACTGATGATGAAGTTAGAGCTATTCGTCGAGCTTATTTGGATGGGTCAGGTGCTCAGACCTTAGTGACTACGGAAGTGCTACATCCAGATGGCATAGCAGTTGACTGGGTGGCTCGGAATCTGTATTGGACGGATACGGGGACTGACCGTATAGAAGTCACACGACTTAATGGGACATCTAGGAAAATACTGATATCTGAAAACCTAGATGAACCGAGGGCCATCGTATTAAATCCACTAACAGGGTAAGTGAGAAGTTCTCAATCAACGTATTTACAAACTAATAACTGAATTTACTCTTCCTTATGAGGATTTAATTTTTTCCCAAATAGTACTACCTATGCATTTAAATGGAAATTACAAATATATACTTCAGCTTTAAAAAAAATGTAAATTGGTATGGTGATGTACTTGAATGATCACAATGATACCCCATTGTGTTTTTTACCTCGGAGGAGGTGTAGAATGAACCAGCATTGTAGGCTTTTTTTTACCAGAGGATTATGCTGTCTGTGTGTAAATTTTATAATTATATGACATTATTTAAAGTGGTGCTAAGCCCTTTTATCCTTTACAGTCCACAACTGCATCATCATACAGCGGAACTAAACCCATCGATTTAATGGTTTAAGAGAAAAAGTTACATTTCTGGCATGCTGGGAATACTGATTGTCACAATTGATTGTGCTGTCAACCAAACTGTAAAGCCATCAAATGGCTGGTGTCATAACTGTTTACATGTGCAGCAGCACCATGACAGTTGCAGATGAAACAGAAACTAAGATACCAGCTTCCTTGGCTGAAAAGGATAGGAGGGTTTAGTTCTGCTTTCATCTCTATGTAGATCTCTATAGTGCTGTACATGAGGTCAGCTGTGACACCTGTCATTTGAGGGCTTGAATGTTCAGTTGAGAGTTGACATAAGCACACTGGCAAAGGTGACCAGTATCACCAAAGGCATGTTTTGAAGGTAACAATGTTCAGAAACCATTAAATTGGTGGGTTTAGCTCAGTTTTAAAACGAAAATAAAGCCAAAATAATACCTTTCAAACACAAAGACTATTTATTGCAAAAGAGTGGTACTATGTCACTTCTGGAATAAAATAAACTTACCTGCCTGTTCATAGTTTTTATTAAAATGTACACTGAGCTACATACGTGCAGTTCTGGGCACACTGCCTGTGTACCAGGATGAATGAACCCCTGAGCATGCACAGAAGTATCTCTTGATGTCCAATCAAGACAGCCAAAGGCGAACTGCTTAGGTGAAGACTCCAAAGAAAGACCTCGTGGATGCTGGACAGTTGGAGAAGAGATGAGTATTGCGGACGTTAGTTTGGCTTTAAATCTGAACTCCAGACAAACTTTTTTTGTAAAAAAGGATTGATTGAAGCGATAGTAAACACCGCTAGCTCACTTTTACCAATAGGTAAGCTCATAATAAGGCTTACCTGTAGGTACAAGGAATATCTGCTAAATGTGCAGAATTTAGGAGATATTTATAACAGCACTTGTGCTCAGATATTAAACCACAAAGAAATATGATAAAACAAAATAAAAGCAGCTTGCACATATATAGGCAGTGTTATAATATAAAATGTAAAAATGCAGTGCTAATTATAAAATAATATAAAAGTCAAAATAAAGTCCATATAAGTCCCCAAATGAATAGAAGCAGGTACATTAAAAAGATTTCGATCCAAAAACCATCACCATACACCCGAAACAGATTGGCCTCTTACCAGACAATTTGTCTGTACAAAACCAGTCAGCAAGCGCAATGTGATATAACCTCAATACAGCAAACAATCCTCAGTAGAAATTCTTTCCAGGATAAAAGATAACTTCTCCACCTTTAAAGATCTCCACATAGAAGAAACTGCTATCTGACAGTCAGGAAATGAGTAAAAAGAAAAGGCAACTCATAGTGTAGTAGTTAAATTATACTTTGGCAAATTTACATTCCACGTACATCAAAGTGTTATATAACCAGCATTGAAAAACAAAGTTTCAAGCCAACAAGATGGCCACCATCCTTCCAGAGCGCGGTGACGTCACACGCCAAGGCTCCACCCAAACGCTTTCCATCAGAAATGTCGTCAGGGGCATGAACCCCTGATAACATCTTTGATGAAACGCGTTGGTTGGAGCTGATGCATTTTGGCATCCAGCCTTGTTCTTAGTTTGCATTGAACATAGTGGTTGGAGGGCGCCATAGAGCCTTAGCACCTGGGTTTGGATGCTATTTATTAATTACAGGTGTGGTTCCTTGTGTGCGCTCCTCTTGCATCTTGTGTCCACATTGTACAAACACCAAAGAAATGATGATTTTTGACTGCTTATGTAGGTTTATGCTTTTTGCAAAGAATACATAAATAGAAATAAACTTGTTTATTGCAATTTATTATTATTTGAATGTTCTCCATGGCATTGCATAAATGATACTTTGAAAAATAAATATTTATAAAGGTTTGTAAAGATTTATTTATTTTTTTTGTACTTAGTTATATGTACTGGACAGATTGGGGTGAAAAGCCAAAGATTGAGTCTGCTTATTTGGATGGTTCGGAAAGGACAGTACTTGTTAACACGTCATTAGGGTGGCCTAATGGATTAGCACTAGATCTTCAAGAAGGAAAACTGTACTGGGGAGATGCCAAAACAGACAAAATAGAGGTAAGTAGAATTTCTCCGACGTGTTTTGTGCAGGCTATATTTTGTAATAACAGCTGCCATTGTTTTCTAATATTATTGTACGGTAATGAAGCAGTGGTTTCTAAAAATTTTTTCTATAAACCTTAATACCTGTGCTCTCTGATTGTACTTGTTATACAAACATAATGCTTTTCCATCACCTTTGCAATCGGCAAGGTGTTCAAGATATGTGAATGCATGTATTATATATTGTGTAATGTTTTGGGGTGTCAGGGGACACCAGCACAGTTGTATAATTATATAAACCATCTTCATTCTTCCCGAAATGAAAACAAGCAATGCTTCCATTGGAAGGTGGTCTCTCCAACATAACAGAAAATCTGCACATGTTCAGCATAACAATGCAAACAATGTCTCACTAAGTCAAAGCTTTACCCCAAGCAGGGGTGTTAAAGTCTTAGAACGTTTGAGGTGTTCTTCAACAGAGACACAAACCATAGCACTGTTAGCAATTCATCAGCTTAAACCAGCTTTTTAGTCCCGCTCTCCAATTTCCTACTACTCCCTCATTTGCTCTGTGTAGTATTTTAAACCCCTCCTGTGGGTTCATCAACCCTTTGATGCACCAAACCCAAACAGAGGAGAGATATGAGGTACTGGCTGGCAGGATTATGGATGACGTATGTGTCACTTTTCTCACCTACACATGGTGGTGAGGGGCTCCAAGGATTGTTAAACTTTTTGTTTCTCAGGTCTTAAATTCTAACCTGGGTCTTGGAGTATTGAGACTTTGTAGAACTTTAGGTGGGATAAAACCTTTCTTGCTAGGCCCTTATCCTACCTGTGTTGTACAGTCATTTTTATATGTGTGCTTACTGATGCGTAGCGCTCTTTTTTTTTCTTTTTTTCCTTTGATTTTTAATTTAAGCTGACTGATGATCAGCTTTCATTCTCTCCCTACTGTGAGAGCCAGCTGTGTAAAAAACAAAATGCTGTAAAGTGATGGTTTAAAAAATAAGACTTGCTTTTATTTATCAATTTTTGGTGTGTCCAACTTTTTCCTGTAAATCTGCTGTAATTATCCTGGAAATACTTGCTCACAGTTATTTAAGAAACTCATCAGGTAGTTTATTCCCAACATGAACATAGGTATGAGAACTAACCACAATTTTTCTTTGGGTTTAGACTGACTCAGTTGCTTCTGTCCCTTCATGCAATCTCACAGATTAATGATGTTGAGTTTGCAATGCCATGTTTTCCAGGACTTCTTGTTCTTTTTTGTTAAAGGTTGTACTTTGACTGGCTGGCTTACTCAAAGCACTATATCTGCCTGTGTGATGTCACCACACTTTCTTTCTACGTGTTACATCACAAATCACGTGACTTCCTCAGGTATACGCCTATCCTTGAGGAAGTCACGTGATTTGATGTAACACGTAGGAAGGAAGTGTGGTGACATCATTTCTGGTCGGTCGGCGGCCGCCATCTTGGTACACCTGTTCCTGTGTATTTTATTACCAATGTTTGTATGGGTTCACTGGCCCGATTTTTAACCATTAGCCGCCCGGCCAATGGCCGTTTTGGCGGCTTGAAAAGCGCTGCAGCTTTCCGGGTGCACGCCATTTGGCGTGCTCCCGCACATGCGCGGTTGCAGAGCGACGCAGCAGTGCGATCTGTCACCGCCCGTGCACCTCGGACACGGCTGATGACAGATCCGAGTGCCGGCTCCCGTTGCCGGTACCATGTGACCTGCTGTGACCAATCACAGCAGGTCACATGACAGTTGTATACAATGGATGGCTTCATTCATGATGCCATTCATTGTATACTAGTGCCTAGCTGTGAATGGTCACAGCTAATCACATGCACATGTCATGTGATTAGCTGTGACCAAATCACAGCTAAGCACAAAAAAAAAAAAAAAAAAAAAGCTGAATGAATCGATTTCATTCAGGTAAATGCTTGCTTATAGCAAAGTAATTCTTTGCTATAAGCAAATTGTGTAAAAAAAAAAAAAAATACTGATCACTTCCCCAAAGTAGTACAGTGTTACTATGGTAACATTGTACTATTTTGGTCATAGTAAAATATGAAAAAAAATCTTAAAAAAAATAAAAAAAAATGTAATAAAAAATTAAATAAAATAAAAAAAAAAAAAATAAATAAAAAAAAAATATATATTTTTTTTTTTCATACTGTCACCAGTCAGTGTCCCTGTTCACCGCCATGCCAGTTATATGATGACGCTGTACTGCACTGGTGACAGTATGTAAAAAAAAAAATAGTGAAAATAATTTTTTTAATTTTTTCATTTTCCGAAAAATTATGACAAAAAAATACAACTTCAAAAAACTCGCCATGCCTCTTATGAAGTACGTCGGACTGTCTACTCTGAAAAAAGGGGTCATTTGGGGGATATCTGTACTATTCTGACATTCTTGGACCTCAAGATATTAGATTGGCCGTCAGTACTTCAGGATTGATCAATATTCAGATCTATACCATAGTTTGTGAACTCTATAACTTTCCTACAAACTAAAAAATACATCCTAATTTGGGTTATTTTCACCAAAGACATGTAGCAGAATACATCTCGGCCTAAATTTATGAAGAACAATTATTTATTTGTAAACTTTTATAACAGAAACAAAGAAAAATGTGTTTTTTTTCAAAATTTTTGGTCTTTTTTTGTTAATTTAGCAAAAAATAAAAACCCCAGCGGTGATTAAATACCACCAAAAGAAAGCTCTAGTTGTGTGAAGAAAATGATCAAATTTTAGTTTGGGTACAATGTTGTATGACCGCGCAATTGTCATTCAAAATGTGAGAGCGCTGAAACCTGAAAACTGGCCTGGGCAGGAAGGTGTAAAATTGCACGGTATTGAAACGGTTAAAAGTTGAGTATTCTATACCTGTTTTTTTACATTAAACATGCACGTGATACACTATGAAATGCCCTTTGATGTTTTCTTTGAACATGGATTTCTGATGAGGAACTGGAGAAGGAGCCATTAAAGTACGCTTACAGAGCAGAGCTAGTTGGATTTCAGGTTGATATTAAAGTGCAGTTGACCTATATTCCCTTTAGGTAAAAATGGGAGGTGAGCATTCATGTTAGCTGCTGGAGGATTTTTAAGGGTGTCACTGGTTGATGGCTCAACCGGATGTTTATTTGATCTCTTTAGATTTTTTGTGCTTTGTTATATATAATTTTTTTTATTATCATTTATGCCTTGATATATATTACTCAGATTATCTATTTGCACATTTTTGAAGTTGCACATATTGATTTGTTCATATTTGGTATTGCCTAGCAGGGTACCCATCCTTTTTGGTTATTTTCAAGATATGCACCTATATTACCTTAGGGGCTCTGTCAGGTGTTTACTTTTTGTTTTATGGTTAGGTTTAGTGAGTAGCGCAACACTATTTATTCATTTATTTTTTAGTGTTCTGGGAGCGCAATTTGCTGTTTGCAGCAACTCTTAGTTTATCATATTAGATTTGGCAGCGCAAGAGGATTTTTCCTTTATTTAAGACAGAAATTTTGATCATTCTACAAATCTATTCTAAATTACCCTGAACACATTTTTCAGTACCTAATAGAAAAATATTATAATAGTGATATTTCAAACTGTTTTCTGTAATTCATATTACACATGACTTTAATCTAGAAATCAGTCAGCCTATTTAAATAGTGGAAAAGTGCTCACTCTGTTCTTTGGCATAATCACATTCACTGTAGTAAACATGGACTAGAAAAAGCAAAAGAGAGAGCTGTCTGAGGAGATCAGAAAGAAATGTATAGACCAGCATGTCAAAGGTAAAGGGTAAAAGACTATCTCAAAGCAGCTTAATGTTCCTGTGACTACAGTGGCAAGTATTAAAAAGTTTAAGGTTGATGTGAGTGTAGCAAACATCCCTGGGTGTGACTACAAAGGAAAATGATCCCAGATCGAATAGCACGATAGTGCAAATGGTAGTCAAAAAGATACAAGCAAAGGTCAAGGTACATCATGTACTTGCAATTGTATTTGTTTGCACTATTGGTCACTTTGAGTGACAGTGGGTTTAAAGGAAGAAGACCCAGGACGACTCCACTGTTGAAAGAAACGCATAAATTAAACCAGACTGGAATTTGCTAAATTGCATATTGACAAACCACAATGCCTCTGGGTGAATGTCCTTTAGACAGAAGATACAAAACTACAGTTGTTTGGCAAGTTACATCACCTCCTATGTGCATTAATAAAAAAAAATCAACCTTTCAAAGAAAAGTATACAACTGCAAAATATGGAAAAGGCATGGTCATGTTTTGAGGCTGCTTTGCTGTCTAGCACGAGGGTGCCCTGGATCCATGCAGACAGAATGAAATCTCAAGACAGCCTGGTAATTATGGAGTGAAATCTATATAAACCTCCGTTGCAGGTCCTTCAACAGGATAATGACCCAAAACACACAGGTAAAAGCACCTTAAATGGCTAAGCACTTAATGTTGGACTATTCTGACATAGCCTTCTATGAACATCTAATCATATCAAGCATCTGTGGAAAGAGCTGAAACATGCAGTCTGGAGATGGTAACCTCAAAACCTGAGACATCTAGAGCAAAACTATCTGTTGGCAGGTACAGAAGACTCAGAAATTGCTTGTTTGCCCTTAAAGGTTTTGCAGAGAATAAGGGTCCCATCAGCTTTGCCCTTGCCATTTTCATGAAGCCAGGCCAAATTTTTTAAATATAATCAACAATGATGGATACCATTAAATTTTTCACGTTTCAGAGAAGATTGTGGGTCCTTTTTTTGTGGAAAGGTATAAACAAATTTGCCCATGGCTGTGTGTATAAATGTATATGCGACACAGGGACAATCCTAGAAAGGCAGCAGACAGTTTCAATGCAGGAGGGCAGCACACAGCATAAACCAAACAAAACATCTGTTTTGTTCAAGCCATTAATTAAATTCAGATCAATTACTAATGTGGTGCTCATGATGGATTCTCCCAAGCAAATAGGCAGCAATTTTATCTTTGGTGTTCTGTAAACACTCAGCCTTTTCACCCAGCAGCAACAGGCTCCTACAGCAGAAAGAGCAAGAGAGACCTGAGCCCCAGTATTCAGTACAGGATTCTTGGGAAAAAAAACAAG